TACAAGCACCTGGAGGAGAACCAGGTGATAAGGAAGAACCAGTATAGATTCACTGTAAGTAAATCATGCCAGAGCAACTTGGTTTCCTTCTATAACAAGGTAACTGGCTCTGATGAGGGAAAGCAGTAGATGTGATATATCAGCAAGGCTTTTGACATAGTCTCTCATAATATTCTCATTAGTAAACTAAAGAAATGCAGCTTAAGTGAAAGTACTGTTAGGTAGAAGTATAATAGGTTGGATCATTGTGCTTACTGAATAGTCATCAATGAGTTAGTGTGTAGTTGGCAGGAGGTATCAAGTGTGGTTCCCCAGGGATCTCTCCAGGGTATGGTATTGTTTATTATTTTCATTAAGTCTACAATCAATCAGATGAAATTCAACAAGGGCATGCAAAATCCTGCACTTGGGACAGAATAATTGCATGCACAAATACAGACGGGAATGATGGACTAGGCTGCAGTACTGCAGAGCAGGACCTGGGGGTTACAGTAGACCTGTGGAAGCCATCCTTACTGGCAGGCATGCCACAAATTAAGCCCTGCCTGTGCCCTTCCTGAGAATCACTTGGATCCTCTTCACCCGCCTGATCTGCTGCTCTGCTTTCTGCTTCCTGCCCCCTCTACCATCTGCTGTGGGCCAAACACAGAGGTTCTCCAGGGCGCTTGTGACATGTGCTGCAGGTTGGCCACCCTGCAGTAGGCCATAAGCCGAATATGGGCCAAGACTGCTGATGCTGTAGAGGAAGAGAGATTACCTATAACATCCAGGTTCCAAATCATGAAGAGGGCCCTAGAGTTGATACCAATGGGCTCCTACAGGCATGCAGGGAGCCTGCTCCGACGCACGGGAAATCCAGCGCATCAGAGCAGACTCAATCAAGTCTGCTGGCGTACAGACATTGATGCGCTCTGGCATGTCTTCCATGTCACATGTATCCATGTCCCCATGCATTCCCGTGCTGAAATAACGGTAGCAAAGAGCTTTGAAATAAAACACATTCCATGAGCTTTAGTTCAAAGCTCCCTGCTGCCATTTTTTCAGCACGGTGGTGTGCGGGGATGCTGATGCATGTGACATGAGAGTGCTTTTAATTAGCACAGCTTGCTAAGTAAAGCGCCCAGCACCACATCCCAAATGCATATAAAAATGCCCAGTGACTTGAATTTTCTCTTAAAAAAATGGAAGCCAGTCCAATGTGTTATGAACTTGTCTTTCTGCTTTTCTAAGGAAGCAACTCGGATTAAAAAGGTCACAAATAATTAACAAAGAGTAATTATTTGCCAGACCAGCTTACCTGAGGACATGATGGATTGTCTATCACCTGTAGGCCCTAAATTGAGACTGGATAGCTTTCTGAATGAAATACTTTCTAAATGAAACTCACTCACGTGGAGGTTATGAGCTTGATTCAGGCAGAGGTCGAACTAGATGGTCATAATGGTAACTTCTGGCTTCGAAATCTGTGACTACAAGGTTCTCGCCCTTATGTGATATAATAGTTTTGCTCAGCCCAACTGACTTGAAACAAGAAAATAAAGCAAGGTTCAGAAACTGTAGTGTAGAAAAGGGCTGCCACCATTTTAAAAGGTGATCTACAAAGCTGTCTACTGAATGTATTAATCTTTTGACTACCTCAAGAGAAACTTAAGTGAGGAGGACTTCAGCTACACCATGGCTGGTTTTCAATTTCAAGCAGATGCAAGTAAAAAAATGCCAAGCACCTCCTAAAGCATCAGGTACCCAGATAGACTTAGTTACTGATCCCAGAACCATCCTCGTGAGAGGAGTTTCCGTGTCCTGTCAGAAAAACTCATTGCGCTAAAAATCTTGACTACTTCCTGTACAAGAAAAATTCTTATTTTGTCTTATCAGAATTGTGCTTCAAAACCTCACACTTTTTGATGTATTTATCTGCACAACACTCTTGTGAGGTAGGGAACTGGTAAACTAAGGCCACCCAGGAAGTCTGTGGTGGAGCAGAGAATTAAAAGTAGGTCTCCTAAGTCCTAGACGAGTACCCTAACCATTGAACCATGCAGCCTCTTTTATCTTATTAACTTAAGAGGTGGCTTCAATAGAAGATGCTTGCACAATGGTCCCCATGTCTATCCTCACCTTAAGCGAGCATTCGAGGGTGGTCATTCGTGGCTCTGCCAACACAGCACTCAGCCAGTGCATTCAGCCAATGAAATATTTTCCTCCTAAATAGGGTCATAGCAAAGCAGGGCAGTCTAGTGTCCTGCTCAAGGCAGGATCATGCCTGACTAAACTACCCTAGTTGGATGCTGACAGCCCTTTGTACCCCAGGCTGGAGTGTACCAGGACCCAAAGAGGAAATTCAGAGCCAACATTTCCAGGGTTGGAGATGCCACAACTTCTCTAGGTAGCCTGTTTCAGTGCTTGACTACCCTCATGGTTAGACGGTTCTTCCTAATTTCCAATCTAAATTTTCTCTGCTGCAGTTTGAGACCATTGCTCCTAGTCCTGTTCCCTAGGGCCACCAATCTCATCCTCTCTATAATCACCCTCCAGTTATTTGAAGACTATTACCAAATCCCCCGTCAGTCTTCTCTTCTCTGGATTAAATAATTCTTGTTCTTTGAGTCTTTCCTCATAAATTGTTTCCCAGGCATTCAGTCTTTTGTTGCTTTCTGCTGGATTCCTCCTAATCTGTTCACATCTTTCTTGAAGTGTGGGGCCCAAAACTGGACACAGTGCTCCAGGTGGGGCTTCACCAGTGCTGAACAGAACGGCCGAGTTGGTTTTCCCTTTTCTGTTGCTTTATGGGCACTGTCCTTGGGATAGAGCTTCCTGGAGTCATTTGCTGCAGAAAAGGGGAATTCACCACTCTGGACTCTGTAAATTAGTTTGAAGATGGGATGACCATGGGGTGTGGACAAACTGCAGCTCCTCTCACAGACCCCATCTGTACCAGAAGCAAAATTTCCTTTCCTAGGGGGCGGCAATCATGTTGACAGTCCATTGTACCCCCAGGACTTGAAGAGCTACTTGAAAGTGCAATATGCACTGGGCACATTAAGAGCACCAGCTGGATTTTTGTGTGAAGCAGCGATTCCCAAACTTTTTAGACTCAAAGCAACCTTCCATAACTTTTTAGAGTTTAGCTATACCCCATTTTAAAAATGAATATATAGTCTCTTATTCATTATTATTATATCAAATGTAATGCAAGTATGATACTTGCCCCTGTAAGTTGCTGGCAGTGAATGCTCCCCTGACTCCACCCAGCCACACACGTTTGCTTCCAGTGTGGTAACTGGATGCCTTGCACTTGGCTCTAGGTCACCTCTGGGAATCAGCAAGCCAATTTCTGCCCTTAATAACCCCAGGGCTGCCCTCCCCCCTTGAAATCCAGCCTAGGGAGCTGCAACAAACATCCAGAGACACCTAAGGGCAGGACTGGGCTGCTGGCTCTGTCTAGCCAGACAGGATCAAATAACCATCTGCAGAGGCTGCTGCACATGTGGCGTGTAGGGTGTGATGAGGAGTAGGCAATAGGACATGAGGTCTCAGAGGAGACCGGCCAAGGGGGATCTGCTCAGAGCAGAGTGGAGAGGCAGGTTGTATTGAGGGGCTTTGGGAAGTGGTGGCCAAGCTTGCTGGTGAGGTAGGCACTGGAGTTTGGCAAGCCCTGATTCACCCCAAGCCAGCTGTTATGGTGGCCTTGATGAAGCTGATGTGGAGCCAGTTGGCAGTGTCCTTCAGGCCAGACTGGACAGGGGCTGCTGCCTCAGCCCAGAGCAGTGAGGGAGGAACCTGTATCACCTTCAAACATACAGACACCAGCCTTCTAGCCACAGACAGGTGTACACAGACTAGGGCCACCAAGAAGAAGGGCATCCCATGGCACCCTTTAAAGGATCATGCCGCACCCCAATTGAGAATCACTGGTATAAAGCATTGATGCTACCTTGCTAGTGGATGGCTTTGATAGTTCTGTTTGTCTGCCCTTGTCATTCCACCCTAGATGTCACTGGTTCATCTCAGATATTACAAGCTAGCTACAAACCAGCCTTTACAGTGGCTTAAATGAGAAGATTTGGAGCCTGCTGTGCTACTGTAACACATTAAGAGGCAATTGGAGGTGATATGCCAGTAAAATCAACCCAAAAGAGGTAACAATTTGACAGTAAACAAGACAAGAATGTCTGTTCAGTTCTTTTGTGCCCATGCTGGCTCATTTGATAGTGCTGAGATCCCATTCTCTGCCCTTGGGTACCACTTGCTGTATGAATTATGGTTACAGGACCCCTTTTGAAAGCACTGATGGTTCCAGGAAGTCCTAGCCCTGTCCCAGTAAGGGATGGGACTTCAGGAATCCTATTTCCACATGGATAGAAATGAAGGATGTAGGGAGGGATGTAAGATCTGCAGGATGGACTAGGCAATTGCTAAGGACATACAACTCCTGTTGTCCTGGAGTCCACTCTGCTGCATTAGTCATTCCTGTCCCAAGAAATAAGCAGAGGCCTAGCACTAGGGGAGAGGTGCTGTTGAGCACCTTACAAAAGCCCTCTCTTGAGAATAATCATGCCAGTGCTGGGACTGTCAAGGAAGGATTTCATGTAGTTGCCTTGGGGACCCCTGGGCCAAATGAAGCAAGCTAACAAGGCAAGACGGGCAGGCTTGCTGTGCTGCTGCCGTGTGTTTATATGCAGTCTCCTCACCCTGGGGAGTTCAGTCTGGCAGCTTTCACCAGCACCAGCTTCCCCTAGAAAACACATCTCTGAGGTTTGCAATAGGTGCAAACAAGTAGCCAGATTTCCATAAGTTAATATTAGCCATTTCACACCGTCCTCTCAGCTGGTACCACAACTGATACTCATACAGGCTGCTACGAATGCTTGAATATTGGGCATTCCCACCCCATTAAGAGTGGCCATACACAGTATTCTGGGAGATCAGCAGACCATGTCCCATTTAGCCTAATAAGCCCCTTATTCAAAAAGCTATCACTTAAGAGACTGATCCAGGGAGAGGAGAGTTTACACAAGTTTATTCAACTGGTTTCTTACTTTAGTTCTACCGAGTGGGTGCTGAACAGTTACAAGCTCCTTCTGGTTCAATTACAGCCATCTAACAAACAAAAAAGACAACTTGGAAAAAAAAATAAGAAAATCCACAACTTTTTCACGTGTCATTAAATATATTCATATATAATAACCATAATATATTAGTATGCATTGTAAAGAAACATTGCCCAAAACAGTATGCAATGGTCATAACTAAACAACATTTACAATTCAAGATATTAACAGAAATAAATCAAAAACACAGGTTTCCCGACAGGTCTGTGTAACAGGAGAAAAGGTGGGTGTGTGCAAGGGAAAACAGACACAAAATGTAACAAATTAAAATGAGACGAAACAACTTTTGTTCACTGCTACTAGTGAGTGATGATTGTTTTGGCATTTCAGCTGCTTTCCAGAATCACTTTGTAGGCACCGCAGCCCTTTTACCCTGTTACAAATTCTATGTTACCTTTCCTAAAAGTACTTCTGTATTGTTCTGCGCTACTCAAGTTGCTGTAACATTCCACCGCTGTGTGTAACACTTAATGGTAAATGCAGGTGCAGGATCCTGAAAGACCCCTTGCCCCTTCCCTGTGCTTCCAGGAAGCTGATTTTTCTCTCATTGTCCATTATTCTTTGTTGACTCACCTGGAAGAATCAGATGACTTGTTTCATTGCAATGGAAGGCCCTCAGCTTAAGGTGGAGAAATACAGCATGTGATTTAATTAGCCGATAAGCCACCAAACCAGCCACAGATCCATTTGCTTTTAGTTGATGAGTGGACATTTATAAATTCCTTGGTGGCTGCCTTATTGTCATCTCCACAGTAAGATCTGTCGGACCCATCCAAGGAACAACTGTGGCTAGGGAAGTTACTGTTTAGCAGGTGAAATCCTGGCCCAGCTGAAGTCAAGAAACAGGATTTCTCCTTGGATGCTTGTTCTTAAACATAAAGAAAGGAGAGGGCCATAGGAAATAATTACTTCGCAAGACACCCCAAAAGTTAAACTGTTTTATTCTAGTTCAGTCAATGGAAACTGAGGTTGTATATGTTACACATGCTCATTATTCTGCATAACAGTATTACGCACAGCTAAAGAGGTACTTGTTAACTGCAGAAAGAGCAAAACAAACCCCTCAGGCCTGCTGATAAGCGCAAAACTTCAATAAAAATATGTTATTTCATACTAGTCTTGCATGTGGGCAGGGGCTTGTTTAAAAAAATCTACAATATTACATTTCTGGTTAATAATCAACTTTCTGAGCTCTAATTTGTTTTACACCTTGTGCTACCTATACGGACAACTTCCGGGATTGCTTATTTATTTATTTATTTCCCTCCTAGTGTGGGGGGTACCAAAAAATGCCCCATTGCAGCTTTTCAGAATACAAGCATCTTCTGTTGAAGAAGATAATGTGTTCTTCACAGTCCTCTGGGCATTCTTCTAAAAAAGATTCATAGCAATAGATAGAGGATTGGGCTTTTTAAGCTGAGTTGTTTTTGTATTGAATGCCAGTCTTGATGACAGGATATTAATGCTAGCTCCAAAAACCAAACACAGAAACGTGTGCAATCCTACAGCTTCCCGGGTGGAGCCTGCAGCGTATCTGACTGGGAGGCTGAGCTGTGCCAAGGAGGACCCTGCCACTTTTGAATGGGCATATTGGAAAAGCAGGTTCAGGGGACTGTGCCAACTGGAAGTCTGAGATCCCACATCTCTGCTGGAGATTGTGCCAAAAAACTTCCCTCCTTGAGCTCCCTGGAAAAATCTCAGAGCAAGAGTCCTGCATGAAAGCTGATTCCAAACCTGCTGATCTCAATGAGAGTCTTTCCTCTGACCTCTCTGGGCTGTAGATTAAGTTCAAATACAAATAAAACAAAAAGAGTGAATCTTCCAGGGTACTTATTCACCCATGTCTGCCTTGTGCACATGCTGGTGACCTGTACTGTCCTTGTCCTGTACCAAGTATCCATCTGGCCCAGACGGGTTTTATCCATCTGCCTCTTTCTCTTTGCTCCTTCCACAGGAGGTCAAGTGGGACACTTGATAACAGGGTATGGTATCAACTCTGGGTAGCTGAAAGCAGAGCAATCTGAGTGAATGCCACTGACTTGAATTAACTCCTTCTGTTCTCCTGAATAAATGGTTCAACCTTCAGTGCCACCTCCTTCAGTAATTAGGAGAGTCAATTTGTATGTTGGACCCATACTTTAGCTCCATCCTCCCATCTGTATGGGATCATTTTGACCAACTTGTTAGGCTCTTAAGTCCATAGATATCTAAGAGTACGATTTCAAAAAGAGCCTGAGTGATTTAGGAACTCTAGTCCCATTTATCTATGAAATCATTTGCCCTTTCTGGTGTCTACACTGCATACACTAACTCTCTGTTTCTTTGAGAGAAAAAAGGGGTTTGGGAACAAACACTTGCTTTTGTTGGACACTCACCACTGGGAATGTATTTCCTCTATTAGCAAGTAAGCTTGTTTTAGAAAAGTCTCATAATTCACAATGAAGCTCAGAGGAGCTTGTTTCTCCAACCCAATCTCAACTGCCCAATCCCAACACTGTGTTTCACTGGGAACCTCTCCACTTTACACCTATTTACATTCCTGCCTTGCTTTATGGTAGTTTATGTCATTATATAAATATTGTTGATTGCTATAAAACAAGGCAAAACCACTGGAAAATGTCATAAAATAGATGTTTCCAAGTTTCCTAAACGGAAAAATATCAGGGAGGTTTTGATTATTTTTTTTTTTAGCATTGGCATCTTAGTTTGATTTTGAACTGTGTGCCCAAGCTGCCTCCTGTTTTGTTATTTTACATGCTATTGCTTGTGTGAGTTATTTATCTGCAGGCAGACATCCTTCATTTTTTATGAGCCTAACATGGAAGCTAAGAAATCCCTGCATCCTGGTTTGACCAAAACAGAACTGCCATAATGTGCACGATGGTCTAGGCAAAGTCTGATTGGATTGGTCCCGAGCTCCCACCCACAAAATGAAGCGGTAGTAAAGTTTTGCAACAGTGAGGCTCTGGATATTAGCAACACCTACAAGGCGCCAGGGAGAGTCAAGGGCAATAACTTTCTCTATGGACTCTGAACTTAAGACATTCCCTCTTCTGTAGTGAAAGACTTCTGCATACCTAACTGTGAAAATCTTAGCTTCTCTCTTAAATATTGTACAGCAGGTAATTGATTATTAGAACTATATCTTATTGAAAAAACACTTAAATAACCTATGTTAGTTGATCATCATATATATCCTCAGTGATCAATTTCTATTTAGTTTCCCCTACCTTAGCTGTCTCATTCAGTCTATGCAGAGGATGTGTATTTTGGGGTGAGGGGAAGTTAATTTCCAGCATTGTTGTCAATCAATTTCTGACATGGTCAATTGTTTCTGTGGCTAGGCTTTGGAACTAGCAGACATCAGCAGTTTTAAGGCAGTTTGGTGTCTCTTTTCTTCAACACATAGGGGAGAAATAAGCAAGGGGATGATGGGAACTGGTAACTGAACAAGTATCTGCTTCTCCGTGATCGAGGTGTTGCACGCCCCGTAGCCAACCTCTGGTCACAACATTCCTATTGCTTTTGTGATCGTCTTTCCTGTTATACGAGGTGCAAGCTTGGCAGTCCCATGAAAGTGATTCACCAATATCCCCACAAACCCAGCCTGCCCTCCCCCCTGGATGCACACAAACTGCAAAGTGAGTCCCTTCACAAAGTCCCTACCCCCAATTCTATCTGCTCCAAGTTCTACACAAAGCAGCATGCACAGTCCTTCTCCCTCTCTCTCTTTCACTCGCGCACACACACACGCACTCACACCTGCAGACACACACACACACTCTCACACACACAAACACACCCTCTCTCTGATGCCATCTCTTCCTTTAGGCTTTCTTACACTTCCCCTTCTTTTCCCGTTGCTGGAACTTCCTGAGCCTCCGAGCCCACGTGTCCCTCCACTGTATCACCAGACTGGTTTTGTCTGCTATGATGCCACTCTGGTCAGGCGAGTCCTCATTGTTGCCCAGCAGTAAGTACTTCTTCATGGGTTTTACTTTTGGGCACTTGCATGCAATGTCCTTGGAGTGGATCCACAGGCTCTGGTCCCCACGCCGTATCCGGTTGCTTCCCTGTTTGTAGACAGAGATGATATTGACGGTGAACTTCCACCAGTCAGCAGTTTTTTCAGCCTTCAGGATGTGGATCTGCACAGCTGGAAAAAGAAAGCCAAGACAAGAAAAGATGTTAAGAGGCTTTTGTTGATCCCAGTAGCAAAGCACTCTAGACAAAAAAACACTTCATCTCTAATGGTCGTCCTCAGAAGACATGGCCAAAGGTAAACACAGCTTTGTGACAGCCACATGTGAAATTTGCTGCTGTTTGAAGCTAAGTTCCCAGAGACTAAATGTCCATGTTACAAAAAGGTTTTGAGTGTTGGTGCAGTCATGATGGTTCAGTTTATATATGAGAGAATTTTTTTTATTATATCTTGTATTGGACCGACTGTATAGTTAAGAGGTTCTCAGGTCATGTTACACAAGTCACTGCTGCAGTAAGTTGCCATTTAGTGGGCTGTCTCTCTTCCCTCTTGAAGAGGGTCCCACAGTGTCATGATTAAGGCTTCTTAATGGGCTTTTTTGGGGGAGGTTACCCTGTTGCTCCTGAGGCATCTGTTTTGAGGATAAGTACAGGGCATTAGTCTCTTTGGCCATGCACGCAGGAGACTTCGAGACGATACAATCTGAGACAGCAGAATCATCAGTTGGGGCCTGAAGTTAAATAGGGTTTGACTACACCTAGCTGACACAGGTAATTGAAGCTGACCTGAATCAAGCTGGTCACTTGCCTTATGCCAGGAAAAGAAACTGCATGGAGATGCTGCTAGCTGGCCATGGTGGAGTGCAGATGATAGCAGCAAAACCAGGGCTGAATCACCAGAGCCCTGATAAGGGAGCACTGTGTGGGGTCAGAAAGTTATGGGCTAGTCTTTAGGGAAGGATTCACTCCTGGGACAATCTCCCATAGGCAGGAGTGAAAGCTCCATTAGAAGAAATGGACAGCTCTACCCAGCAGAGCCGTGCACAGGCCGACTGGACAGGACTTCTCTGCTGCTCCTGTTGTGGGGTCAGGAAGCCTCTTGTTTCTGTCCTAGCTCCTGGCCCTCTCCAAGCACCGACACTGCACATAACCTGTAGATCCACCACCTCGCAACAAATGTATGCAGGGATCTGATGCCTCACAGCCCCCAGCATGCATCCTGGGCAGATTGGCTTGCACAGGAGGCTTCCTAGGCTCAAATCCAGCTTAGCATTGCTCCTTCCTCAAGCCTTTAAAAGTGTTTGCCCTGCTCTTTGCTATGGTTGTTAAAATAATTAACCTCATCTGCATGTTACTGTAGAGTAGAATAAGCCTGTGTGTAATGAATGGTGTGCAGAGGGGGCTATTTCAAAGAGCATCGAGTCAGGCTCATTTAGAGACAGTTCTGTTTCACTTCCTACTCTTGCATTCCTAATGTTCACAATTTTTTCTGCTACTATCTCAAATTCAGTCTTCCCAGACATAAGGCTCAGAGTAAGTTTGGAGGAAACATGCACATCAGTGCTTGGAGATCTTGTGTCAGCAATGCCCAAAGCATAGCTCAAGTCTGTCCTCCAGTTTACTAGGAGGTAGTTTAATTGGTGTGGCCCACATGCACTGTTAATGTGAAAGAACCAGGGCTGATGTGCAGCAGCACCTCCATGACTTATGTTGCTTTACCTCCAGTGGTGATGTCCGCAGCAAATAAGGGATGTCTGTTCATTTGACCTATCCAGTTTTCCTTACTTTTCTTTCAAATGTTTCTGGGCATCCTGAAGTTTGAATTAATCAGACCCAACTATTATGGTAATGGTTTCCATGTTTGCCTCACCAAGGGATTTGATGCTTATTATAAACTTAAAATAATGAAATAAAAATAAAGTGGGCTTATGTTTGGCTGAAGTCATAAAGGTCATAATGGTGCCAAAATCATCCCCTTCCACTTACAGAAATGGGGGCAGAAGGGAGGGGAAAATACACCCTCCAGAACGCTTGTTTTCCACGGGCTGGGCTGGGAAGGAATCCCAGAAGAATAGAGCTGGAAGGGAACTCCAACCCCTTGCTCAAGGCAGGATCATCCTGCTTAAACCAACCCAGACAATTGTTTCTCCAACTTGCTCTTAAAAACCTCCAATGACAGAAAGTCTACAGGCCATCTAGGTAATCTGTTCCAGTGCTTAACCATCCTCATAGTTAGAAAACTCTTCCTAATATCTAAACTAAACTTCCACTGTAGCAATTTAAGCTCATTACTTTGGGTCCTGTCCCCTGAAGACAGAGAGAATGATTCATCTCTACCATCTTTATAACAACCTTTGTATTTGAAGCCTGTGCCCTGGAAAGTGGGATGCATGTCACTGTAAGTTTTCTTCAGCATTTACTCAGCAAAACGGCTGCTTGTGACCCTGTTCTCAGAGGCCCTGTCATCTCACTGTACCAGAGGGTTAGAAGGGGTAGGGTGGTTGCAAATGCAGTGGCTGCAAACAGCAGACACAATCCTTACACACACAGAGTATTTTAGAGCAATAATTCTAGAGTGGCATCAAGACCTGTCCTCCTGCACCTCTTAACCTACAGGGCTCTACTATTTAAGCTAACTAGTCTCCTCATCTGAATGCCCTTCTCTTCACTACCCACTCACCCAGTATATTGTTCAAAGCACAAAACCATTTGCTCTTGAAAACTACAGTCTGGCCTTAGGAGTTCAAGAGAATATCCCTGCTATGCTCAAATATATAAATCCCACTCCCAAGAGTTAGGCATGAAGATTAAAGGACAGACACTCCCCTACATCTTTACATTGTCAGTTCCTGCCCTTTGTGTACCATCTTCCACGACAGATATCTTTGTGGGTGGGGGGCACAAAAACAGCAGATTATGCTCCTGCAATTGGCAGAGAAGCAGCTGGTGCTACCCTGGGCACCACACAGCTGCCCTGGGCACAGAGCTGTACTGCTACACCTCTGGTTGTCACAGACCGGCTCCATCCCCACTTTTATTTTATGAATGAACATGGATTTTCTCCACAGCCCTTACTTTAGAGCAAAAATGAAGCCCTCATGCACAGTTACCACTAATTGTGCAGCACCCACTAATGCTGCAACTTCACTATACCATGTAATACTGGCATAAATAGCCAACTGGTCTCCTGGGCTGTGTGCAAGGCCATCCTTAGGGCACTGACAGTCTGGCATGTCAGGCTGTGAGCAATTTGCATGACCTGTTATGGAAACTACATGTTGAATCTGGCACGGGCTCTCTGAAGTGCTCTGTGGGCCTTTTGTATACAAATGGTCAGCCTTTAGGGAATATGCTGTGGGCCTGATACAAATAGGATGGGCTCAGGTGCCAGAAAGATCCAAGCCTTCAAGAGCAATTAGTCCTGGCTCTAGAATGACATACTCTAATGCAGTCATTCCTAAACTGTGGTTTATGGCTCACTGGTGCTTGGTGAGGCCAAAGCAAGTTGTCTACAAAACACACTGGGTACGCCATTTTCAATTAATAGTTTGACAACAAGTTTGTAGAGTGGTCAGTGAAAAATGCTGGTGCAATAAGTAAGAAGGCTTCTGTGCCACTGAGTGAGACTGCCTTCACTGGAGCCGTCCAGGACTGCTTGGGGAGCTGTCACATGTGGCTGAGTCATTCATTCTGTCAGTCCTGTTGCTGGGCGTGAGAAAGGAAATGTGAGGCATCTTATGGTGCCATCAGCCACAAGTAACTCGTGGGTAGCCCATAGGCAGAGACTTTGGGCTTGGTGTTTACCCTGCCTGCCTCATCTCTGTGTCTGTCATTAATTTAGTTAAAGATTTTGTGACATACTTTGACTTTCAGGTGAGTGAGATTATCTCAACCGGAGGATGCAAGATGAGCAGCCAGTTTAAGGATGACCAAGTGACTCAGAGCTTTGCATTACCTTGAAGAGTGGTTTAAGACTTTGATCTCTTTCCAACCTTAAATCTGTTGCATTACGTGTCAGATAAGTATCGTGGCTTCCACCAATCCTCAGCATGTATCTATAAATAGCAGGCAATCAAGTCTCAAGCTCTGTTGAATAGTCTTGGACTAGAAGATATTCTGCAGTGGAATAGTAAGTAATTCACCTAGTCCTGGATGTGAAGGCACTGACAGATCTGTCTGAGGCCCCTGTTGGATGGGAAGGAAAGTTCAACCAAGTCAGGACTGAGATATACTCACAGAACGAGGGTATATTCCCAGCGGGGGGGTGATATGACGACCCACTCTAAGCACTAGCCAAGCAGGACCTTTGTTGGCACAAGAAAATCTGACAGTAGGCCAGTCAATGGCAGAGGGCATAACAAATTGGACATTTCCCAAGCATGCTGCTTACAGGTTTGAATGGGGTAAATATTGTAAACCCATCCTTCAAGAGGGAGGCAGCAAACCTGGCCTTCTTGGGTAGACTGAAACAAGTTCTGGTAACGCATCCCTTGCAAACAGCCATCTCTTAGATGAGAAAGGACATACCTGAGATTAGATGAATCAGCTGCAGAGAGAACAGGTGGCTGGAAAACAGTCTAGACTAGAACATTGTACCCTTTATTAACACAGGACCTCAGCAGCATTAACAGCACAGCTTTGTAGTACACACCACCAGCTCCTGCCAGTGTGTTACAACTGATTAGAAAACATGCTTTTAAAAAAAGGGTGCTTTGTTAGGTATGGGACTAAGATGCATCTAGGTCCAAACGATCAGATTCCAGGGTATTCAAGAGTCTTCGATTGGTTCACTTTTGGATGGGAGAGTTTTATACTTATTCCGGGCAGACCGATTAAATGCTGTAACAGGTCTTTCCTACTTCTGGGTGAAGTGCTTACAATGATGAGGAATAGTAATCTACTTTGAATTTAGGCCCAAATTCTATTAAAGCTGGGTGCTTCTTCACAGCCAAGGACTTGATGCAGCCCTGTCTCCATTTGGATGCCAACTGAGTGATTAGACACAATGTCAGTGCAATGAAATCTTCCCCCATTAAAGCATAGTAGCAATATTCAAAGGGCTTTATATTACCATGGACAAATGCAAAATACAAAAGTTTTGCAGGATATACATAAAACTAATCCTCTATTTCATGAGGATGTGACCATACAGTCTTGTCAGATACCTTTCCTAAT